TCTGAAGCAGTGTCAACTCCAGCGTCAAGTTTTCGAGGGTTACCGCCGCCAGCCACCAGCGCCGGAAGATCAAGACTTGCAGTTGGCGAGAGCGTTGGGCGCCCCGGGCGGGTCACCCGACGAAGCGCGACCTGCCGCGCAAGGTGCTGCCGAGACCAGCGGCGCAGGAGAAGCACACATGGGATGGAATTTAGAAGTGAGCAAGCAAGGGACAGATTCGGAATCAACGGCGAATCCCAATGAAAACAGTCACGCACCTCGCCGTCAACACGTCAATCAATGTTTCGCCTTCTGAATGATCAAAGAAAGGGTAATTCTTCCTGCTAGCCGAAAGAAAACATCGCGTCACCTGCAGCAGGAGAGAAAGAATTTGCTGCCGCTCGACACCTCGGTCTGCTAAAGGGCCCGGATATAGCAGTTCATTGCTTACACCCCAACGACAACGGCACGCTCCCTGCCAAACAATTCACACACTGAATACCCACAAAACACACTAGCGTAAAGCGAGTTCGAATACAAGGCAACCCAGTGCAGGGAGACGATGTTAGCATGGGAGAACGAAAACCAGGACACTGCAGTCCAACTCCTGCATCCTCCCTGTCGTTAGAATCCTTACCCTTAGGTTGAAAAGTGTTCTTGTGTTGCTTATCATTTTCATTGGTCAGCCGTTAAGCGCGGTCGATGCAGAGATAGAAAGCACACACCTGCTGTGCGTCCAGCTTCTCCCGCAGCTCCTCCGCCTCCGCCCTAGCCCTGGCAGTGGCCGCCTCTCCCGTGGTGCCTTCCAGGTGCGTGGCCTCCAGTGCCGTCCGCAGCTCCGCCACCTGACTCTTCCTGGTCGTTCTCCTCGTCGTCGTCCTCCTCGTCGTCGGCCTCTTCCTCCTCCTCCTCCTCCTCCTCCTCCTCCTACTACTACTACTACTACTACTACTACTACTACTACAACTACCACTACTACTACTCTACCGCCTGCCCCGCTCGGCGCTGTATTGCAGAGAGGGTAACCCTAGAAAACAAGAAGCCGACAGACGAACGAGAGAAGGGTGCAATTGTATCAGCCCCAGAGGCAACAAAGGTGGTGACAACGACAACGATAGCAACAACGAGAACGAGCAATATCGCCATCGTACACGCAACAGCACAAGGAACGACAACAACAACCACACGACGTTCCTGGATATCTCCTTCTCCGCCCACATGTTTTGCTCACCTCAGGCCATTCCGCTGCCTTTAGTGAGGTCCTCCCTCACGCTGCGCCTGCGTTAGTGCTTGTGAAGCCAACGGTGCAGCTGAAGCAAACATTGGATGAAGCAAGTCAACAAGCAAGGGACCAAATCCAAATCAACGGGGAAAACAACAATAAAAACATGAAATATGGTCTCCAAAACTATCAACCCTTGCCGTTAAAACGCCAATTTTCTGTTTCTCCTTGACAAAGTACATAGAAAAGTTTTTTCTTCATCCTAGTCATTGAACAACACGTCAGCTGCCAGGACCAAATAATGCCTCCGCTCGTTGCACCTCCGTCTGCCCAAGGCGCTGTATTGAAATCCACCTCATACA